CCTTTTCTTTCTTTCTTTCATTTTTTTCTTTTTTTTTTGATACAGAGTCTTGCTCTGTCACCCCAGGGCTGTAAGTTGCAGTGTATGATCTCAACTCCTGGGCTCATTCAATCCTCCCACCTCCAGCCTCCCAAGTATAGCTGGGATTACCAACGTTTGTGTCACCAAACCCCAGGGCTAAATTTTTATTATTGATATTTTTGTTAGGACGGAGTCTCGGCTGTTTTGGCTTCAGGCTTGGCCCTTGAACTTCATGGTTGCAAAGCAAAATCCTTCCTGCCTTGGTCTCTCAAAGTGTTGATCATTACAAGGCATGATCCCCTGTGCCTAGCCTCTGGTTTCCTAATGTATAATTTAAACTCAAGCCTTCGCCGGGGCTGTGGCTCAGCCTGTAATCCCAAGCACTTTTTTGGGGAGCTGGAGAATCGGGTTAGGCGGATCACAAGGTCAGGATGATGAGGACCATCCTGGCAACACGGCGAACCCGTCTCATACTAAAAAAATTAACAAAAAATAAAAAAAAAAAAGCAGCCCGGGCAGAGGGTGCAAAAAAAAAAAAAGACCACAGAGCTATAGCTACTAAATGCTAGAACCTAGATTCAAACGTAGATCCTGTCTCTAGAGTTCAAGCTCTTCAATGCTACTCTTTCTCATAAAATGACACTATTTGGGAAAGACTTCTCATCTGAATAAAAATGATCATCAACAAAAAAGTGTGAAATAAAATTTATTTTGAAACTACCTCTAACTTTTAATCTTCTGAACACACTAGTACTAAGATGCTAATATCCATGGAAAATCCAATCCCTAAAATAAGCTCAGGGTACCAAGGTAACCAGTAAGTAAATATTGTGACTGCACTCTGCTAGGTACTGTGGATATGACAGTGAACTTAAAAGATGTGGGGTCCTCTGTTCTCATAATTCCCAATTTTTTTCCTAAGTTAAGCAGAAATGGCAAAGAACCAACAACTTCCCTATCAGCTGAATCGGAGGAAGAGAGAGGGGAAAATAAGTTTTTTTTTTTAATTAAAAAATTAGTAGCAAAGCCACATTTTTATATTTAAAATAAATAGTAAATAATTACATCACTTCTACAGCGTCACCCAAAAACCAACTGAAGACCTTTCTAGAGGAAGATCATGAACCACAACTTGAAAATCAGATTCACAGGAATTTGCCAACGGAGGGATTCTTTCAGCCAGGAAGCAACTCAAAAGAGACTTCTTACTTTCACCAACGCAATATAACCACTTACTATTTACTGCCAGTCAAGCACTGTCCTGTGCTCTGTACATACACTATCTCTAAACTAGGTTGTATCTCCTATGTACAGAGCAGAAAAACATCTTCCATATTTTTCCCTCATGAAATCTATCATTAGGTTTGAATAATCTGTACTTTCTACATATAGTGTAGTAAAATAAAGATAACCCATGTACTTGAAAAACTCATGTTCACACATAAAGCAGTACATCTTTCATAAGCAGAATTTGATCTTTGGCATATCATGCAAGAAATATGATTTTAAGGTATATTATAGTGGTGCTCCCAGTTAGGGGAAAAGGCAGAGCCTCACCACAACAGGTAACTTTGCTAACTAGCAATCACAAAATAAAGCACAGGCCCAGCAGAACCCTATTCCCCAAGGACCTGGCCAACCAATCCTTGCCCTTTTCTGACAAACTGAAAAGGCCCTGTAACAACCCAATCAGACACTGAGGACTGAATTAGATTTTCCGCATCTACATGGAACTACAATCTGTACCTGAACATCTCCTTTCCACCCACATCGACTTCCTTCTTTCACCTAAATGTCACATTTTCTCTATTCCTCACCTTTCTTATCCATCCTAACCCCACCCCCCATTTCCTAGGTCACCTCTAAGCAGGTCATTTGTGTTGTGGTCTGGCAACAGAAGGGTCAGCCAGCTGAGTCCCCTGTAATTGCGGTGTGATGGCAAAACAAACTGAACCCTCTTCCCCACCCTAGCATGTTCTAGTACACAGGTCTAAAAGTTTAAAGTTCAGGGCTCTCTGACTTTCAAACAGCTCCTTCAACAGAGATCAGCAATACACCCCCACGAAAGGGAAACTGAATACTCTAGTACCTTGGAACAACCACTCACCAATCCTCCAACATCTCTCACCAAGGGGCCTGAGAAGGTTCTTTCCAATCCTGTAGACTGACTAAGCCAAAGGGAAACAAGGTCTACCAGAACATAATAACGGTTTTTTATCTTTGAGAAAGGAGTTCCCCTTAATCCACACCATAAATAACATATAAAGCTGTAATTCAACATTCAGGCATTCCACTATGCCTAAAAGTTACAGATCGCTTTTATTTATACTTCCTATTTGGGCAATATAAAACATATGAAAACAAAGCAAGAACATAAAATCACAGGAACAGAAAAGACACTACTTTATCTTTCAAATTATTTTCCAAGAGATATTCTATAATGTAACAATATCAAAACAGATTCCCTCTAAGTCCATTGACATGTCAATCATTTTAAGAGATTGATGTACCAAAAGAAGACCATTCAAATACCTACTTTCCAGATCCATCTATTCTCCAGAGAAAGACAAAAATCTGTATCAAGATGGATCCACTGACTAATGTAATGAAACCAAGATGCACTTGTCGCTAATGTCAGCATTTCTGACTCTACCAACTGGGAGTAGTGGAAAATAAACTATCACTCACTCAATAACCACTTCAAAAGATTCCTAATCTCTATTCTGTGTTACGGAACAGAAAAAAAATATTTATGGTCAAGTAACCATAAATGAAACCACTGCAACTTTACATGCACGCCCTGTATATGCTTCCCTAATAATACACAAACACACAAACACACTATGGAAATGTATTTTATGAATCTGCCATGCCATTTAACAGACTTTAAATACTGAAGTTCCCTATGGCTAAAACCATGTAAAAGAGATCATCTTGAAAGGGAAAGAAAAATCCACGAAGTTCATGGCTGACAATCCCAGAAAAAATGATTAAATGCAAGAGAAAAATAGAACTTAAGATGATAAACTGATACCAAAAATAAAAAGGTTATAATAACTGAGATACCTTTTAGCACTAGTTGACAATTTAGCAGCGGTTTTGCTGGATATTTTTCCCTCCTTTTTCTTGGGCTGAACTTGTTCTCTTTCTGGTTCTTGCTGAACACTTTCACGTTGATCTCCATCGGAACTTCCTCCACTAGTGCTTGGACTGTCATCAACTCTTTGTGCCTCAGTGGACATTTTAGATCCTGGATTAAAGAATCAAAAATCATTTATTCAGCTGTGAGGAGGACTACAGTAAGCTACCTCCAGAACACAGAGAATGAATCTCAAAGTAAAACAAGTAAATCTCAATATAAAACGGATTAAATTGGTCATTTACAAAACAATGCAGCTTTGGGACTTGCTAAAACTTTTCTTTCATCCATTCAAAATGTATTGTAAAACGAAAACATACAAAATTTATACATGAAACGTTCACAGCAACATTATTCATAATAACCAAAACTGGAAACAACTCAAATATCCACTAACGAATGAATGGATAAACAAAATGTAGTAGTATATTCACATAATGTACTGTTAGCCATAAAAAAGAATGAAATACAGTGTCTACGTGCTACAAAATGGATGAACCTTGAAACATTCTGTAAGTGAAAGAAGCCAGCCACAAAGGACCACAAGCTGACTATTTAGATAAAATGTCCAGAATAGGCAAATTCATAAACATCAAATTCAGTAGTAAATCTCACGCCTGTAAATCCCAATGTTTTGGGAAGCCCAGGCAGGACCAGCCTGGGCAACATAGCAGGACTCGATCTCTACAAAAAATAAAAGTATGAGTGATACCACTGCATTCCAGCCTGAGTGACAGAGAGAGACCCTGTCTCAAAACAAAATAATAATAATAATAAAATAAAATGGGTAAGTGGTTGCCAGGGAGTGAGGGGAGAGCAGTGAAGACTGACAGCTAATGGGTAGGATGCTTCCCTGTGGGGTGATAAAAATGTTCTTAAATTAGATAATGATAATGTTGCTCAATTCTAATAATAAATATTCTAAGAACTACGGAGTTGTACATTTTTAAACGGTAAATTTTATAGTCTGTGAATCACATATCAATAATGCTGTTACAAAAAATAAGAAAAAAATGACTAAGGGTCTACTCTCTACCAGGCGCTATGCTAAACCCTTTGGTCCCACAACTGTGAAAAACCTGGACTAGCCAACTTGCTAAGTACAAAAACGAAGGTTAGTACAAATAGTTGTGGGAACAGAAAAATGGGAGGATTCTTTCAAATCCCTATTCCATCAATACATCCTCAGGGCTGGGCTAAGGTTAAAATTCTCCAAACTAGTAAATTGTTTTAAGTAACCTTTGTGATAACAGAAGAACACAGAGGCCTGTATGACTGCATGATTCTAAATAAAAATTGAAGCATACGACGGCATCAGCACTGATTCAGCTATATACTAAAGCAACCATATTTCACAAGAGATGGCGAGACACTGAAGAATTTTTTTTTCTTTTCCCCACAGTCTGGCTAAAATATCCCTCAAGGCGTTCAAATTCCCTTTGCTCTGAGTTCAGGCTCCCCAAGCAGCTCTGATCACCAACTCAATTTCCTCAATAGCTTGATATTTAGGTAGCTGTTATAATCTAGACAGGAGACACAAACAATTCCAGTAAGAGAAAAGGAGTATTTCTTCTCAACTGTCATTCTACCATAATCAATTTCTGAGTTTGATGACTACCAATACATCCCTTATGAGCTGACTAGCTTACAGTGGTCTGACAAATCCAGAACTGAACCAACAAAACCCATGCCCAGACTCTAAAAGGTCTTGTGCTCACCACAGTTTTGTCACCTAATAATCACTTTGAGCACTGTATAGCTACCTTCTCAGACACCTCTTTAAAAACAAATACCTATACTTAACAAGTATCATTAACAACAAAAAAAATACCTTTAAAAATTAGACGTACACTGAACAAACTCCTTTTGAAATGGATCCTTTTGATTATTCTTATTCAAATTACGACTTGAAATAAAACTGTTTCTGATATGATCAATAAGAATAGGTAAAGATACCTCAAATAAAGCCAAATTTTTAATTACTACAATTTAGTCCAAATGGATAGCTATTTGACACTGATGAAAATTCATCATTACTAAAGATTTAACTTGTAGTCTGCTCCAAGCCAAAGCAATGTTGTAACACCGATCTTTAATAGACTGAAATTTTTGTAAGACAAACCAAAAAGCACTGCAAAAGAATGGAGGCATCACGAAGCACAGAGCCGCAAAGAGTCAACAGAAAATAGTGAATCCTTTCACTGACACGCCACACACACCACCACCAGCACCCCTTCAACCCCAACAGCTCCTCATGCCACACAAAAACAGGTCTGCCTCAACAGCTCTGAAACATACTAATGGAAAAGCTGACTACTTTTCTACCTATTCTGTAAATGGAGAGCACCAGTCTCCACAGCTGTGACATCTTTTATGAGCACTAAAGTCACTTAATAGAACACTGAAATTTTATATCAGTATGTTTCACATCTAGCTGTAAAAGTCATAACATATTTCTTGCTTTTTTTCATTTTTATTTTACTCTAAATTCTCATTCTTGGATTTAATTTTTTTTCCACCTTACCTCTTTCAGTTAAAATATATCAGAAGTTTAAAACCTTCTAAGTATGTACATAATGGCATATCAGTTAGGGCAGCACGCATGAGAGTGAAAACGAGAACAATCCTCAGGGAAAGGTGCTCAGATACAGCAAAATGCTGCCAGCGATACCTTAAGAAATGTGAAATGAGTGAGAAATCATCTTATACATTTTAAAACAGGAGCAATCCGTTCCATGATAAATATACGGGAACCTCAATGAAATAATATTCTCTATACTGAGGCTGCAGCTTCAGTTTAATAAACTATGATTTACTAAACTATGCCGAGAGTTTCAGTTGTGTATCACATTCGTTATAAAACCACACATTCTTCTCAATATTCTTATTTATGTGCATTCACACACTATCGAATGCCAGAGTTATATAATTACTTAAAAAGATTGCTCAATGATGTCATCTGAACCATAATCTGAAACCCAAATTTCATAAACTACTGCTGAATATCAGAGGAAGACTAAAGTAAAAATTAGTCTCACTAGAGAACTAATAAAAATACTATTAGAAATTCCCCAATAGAGGCGTAATTTCTAGTTTCACATTAAGGAAAAGAATTATTTCCACTTTCGACTTAAGACACCTATTTCATCCCAATGTTAACCTACAAATGATAAATCCATCTGAGGCCACTGATAACCACTATAGGAACTTTCAGAAATAAAGTTTTCACATCTCTTTTTCAAATATCAATAAGAGGAGCTTCTCCTCGGTTTGTTTTTTGAATGCTTGCTTACAGAAAAAGCATAGAAAAAAATTATTGTGCCACTCAGGTGCAATGAATTTTTATGAAGAAAAAGTAGTCTATAAATCAATTTAATTAGTCATAAGTGTGAAACTGATGTCGTCTCTCTAAAGTACAAATGAATAAAAATTCCTGAATTAAAATTCTTTAAACATTATCTTCTAAATTAGCATTTTAAAATTAATTCCTAAACAGTTAATCTGATCCCATTATCTAATCTACAGGGAAGATAAACTTAAATCCCAGGGTTATAAACAAAGAGCTACTCCCCAATGATAGTTTCAAAGATATTGAGATATATAAATTAATATGCTTGCTTCGTAACTCAAAGTAAAACTTAATTTTTAAACATAAACAGGCAGTCCTTCCTCAAACTATGTTAAGAGGCTTACATTCTATTACTTCTTCAACACAAACTGTCTAAGCTTGTATTAGCTATGTACCCTATGTTGTAATTACAGTCCTGGAAATTAGCAACATACAGTGAATGAAACTCACGTGTTCCATAAACACGTGTTCCATAAAAATGAAATGATTTGGCTTGAAATATTACTGACTACATAAAGGCAACTATAGTCATTTCATAAATCCAGCCTACTATGCAGGTAAGCCTTATAACAGTATCTACTAGTATAAAACTGCAAAACCAAGGGTTCATTTGAGCTTTTATAACAGGAAAGCGTTTAATTCTGTCATATAGGTCTTGCTGTCTTCCTACTCATGTTTCTAAACTTTTCTAAAATGTAAAATAAATATATAGTATATGCACACAGCAATATTCAGCTTTAAATTTAACTGCAAAGATATTTATGCAGAAAATAATAGTGGAACACCTGATTTGGGGGTAAAAGGTGCTGCAGGGGAAACAGAATGGGGTATAGCATTATATGGAAACACTCTATCTTCAGCATCAGCCCACATACAGAACTCCAAAGAGCCAAGGAGTATCCAAATTGCCGTAGCAAAGGCAAATATTTAGATTCACAAAGTGCAGACTGAATTATTACATATCTAGAAACATACTTTTTAAAGAATCAGGGATTAAAAACTAAGAAGAGCGTAAAATCTTTTAGAACCGCGAGATAATTTGAGGGTAAACCTTAGCACTTCCTTTCGTACTTTTAAATGAAAATATTTGAGTAGACTCTCAAGAATATACAATACAAAACGATGAATCTTAGAAAACATGCAAATAGGTCTAAACAGCCACCGAGCACAGGATGATGTCTTTCTAAAGCGGCCTTAATTTCCTTAAGGGAAGATGGATTGGACATTTCTGGTTGGTCGTGGGAAAAAAAAGCCACAAGAAGCCACGCTTTATCTTCATTAGAAATTGTAAAGGGCAAAAAGATCAAAACATTATGAGAGAGAGAGGAGAAAAGAGGGGGAGAAGTGGAGTGGGGGGGAAGGGGGAGAGGACAGAGGGAATCCAGTTTCAAACCAGGCCAGTGGGGGCTGCAGAGAAGAGACCAGAGAAAAATGGGCTTCGGTTCCAAACTGTGACAAGCGCCAGGCATCACAAAAGACCAATACAACACACACCCCACACCAGGACACACACAAATACACCCCACAAGGTCTTCTCCGGGCGGGCCACCGGGGTGCGGCGGCGGAGGAGCCAGACCCGGCACTCGCCAGGAGAGACACTATGTGCAGCAATTATGCAATTAGGGAAAATAGCAAAAGATCAAGCCGGGCACTTTCCACCGTGACATTTATCCTGTACTTTTGCAAAGACTTAGTTCCAGGATGCGGCTAGAAGGCAGGCGCTGGGAGGGTGGAGAAGGATGGGGAACTGAGAACGGAAGGGGGTAGAAGGAGGACAGGGAGAGGAGAGGCAGAAGGGGGGGATGGGAAGGAGGGGGAGGGGTAGAAAGGGCGAGAAACGGGGGCAGGAGGCTCGCGGGAGGGGGCGCAGGGAACCGGGCCCGGGGAGCAAGGAAGGAGGGAACTAGGACACGAGCGGTGTAAGCAGAGACCTGCGGCGCGGAAGGGAGGTCGGGGGAGTGAGGAGGACGCCAGCGAGAGGGAGGACGCCCGAGGAGGGGAGGCACCGGCGCGGCCCGAGCGAATACCTGAGGGGGGGGTGTCCGTGCAGGTCGCAGGCTCGAGCCGAAACACGGGGAGAGAGCTGCCGACGCGCGAGGGGGAGGGAGACTGGGGAGGCCCCAGGGACGGGATGTCCCCTGCGGACCGTCTAGTCACCGAAAGCCGGACCCACGCACCACGCACCCGACCACGCCTGTCCCCGCCGCGCTCGCGCCCGCCCGGACTCACCCTCAGCGCCGCCGCTGCCGCCGCCCCCGGCCGTTCCAGCTCCGGCTCCTGAGGCTGCTGCCCGCGGCTGTCGCTGTGGCTGCCCCTGAGTCCTGGAAAGTGAAGCCACCACCTCCGGGAGCCGCCGCCGCCGCCCGGCCGTCCGCGCGCGCACCCGCGAGTGCGCGTCCCCGCGCACCCGCCTGGAAGAGACCGCGAGAGCGCGAGCCCCACGTCGGCTGTGCGGCGCCGCGCGCCTACCTCCTCCCCCGCCCCTCCTCCTCCGGCGCGCGGCCGCGAGGGGGCGGGGGCGGGCGCGCGCCCGGGCGGGCTGCCCCACTGGTCGGGAGAGGGGGTGGGGAGGCGGCGTGGAAAAGTAAAGTGACAGCTGGGTCCCGCGCGCAGGCCAGGCTCTGACGGGGGTGGGCGAGGGGCGTCCCACGGGGAAGGAACGACAAGGAGGGAGAGAAGTGGGGGAAACCGAGGCCGACGGGGTGGCTTGAGGGGAGGGGACGCGAGGACCTTGACGGGCACGCGCATTAAAGGGAAATGCCGACTGGGGGTTGGGGGTTGCCCCAAGACGGTGCAGGCAGTGGGGCGAGGAGGCCTTTCACCCCCATCCACAGCAGCCCTTGACTTCACGCTCGCCTCGAAGCTTTCGCAAAGTAGCTACCAGGACTGACCCTGTTGACACACTAACCCAAACTCGCAGACGCGTGGGGCCCGCATGTACCCAAGATAGGAAAACTTCACATTGGCCTGGAAAGTTCGTCCAGGCTAAGCCTGACTCTTCACCCGACACTGCAGCACGCAGGCCCTTCTGCCTTTTGGCTCGCCCTGGCCCAGAATGCACACCAGCCGGTAGAGAGGAGCCTCGGACCGTTTAGCCCTGGGGTATTGAAGAGAGAGGTGGGGGGTACAGGGTGCGCCACTGTCAGAGTGAGTGGGAAGCTGCCTTCATGCCCAGTTGAAGGATATGGGAACAGTAGCAGTGCTGTAGGTGGCCTGAGGGAACATTAGGTTCTGTTTTACTCCTCACCCCAAATAACCATTTAAAAAAAAAAAAAAATGTACCTGCTTTGCAAACTTAGCTTCCACGAAATTTCTCCCACCCCCACCTCCAGCCTCACTTACCAAGGGAGTGCTGGGTCGTTGGCAACGGGGTGTCCAGCGATGCAGCAAAGTTAACTTCGATCTTTGTGGAGGAAAGGATTGAAAGACCTTTCACTGCTTAATTGCTGAAATTATGGTTGCTACAGTACTTCGTTTGACTGTGGATGTTTTAACTGCTATTTACTAAGTTCAAAATGGATTTAATACAAATCAGTTACCCTTTTCGTTTATTCAAGGAACATTTATTGATGCCAGGCACTGTCTAGGTGGTAGGTATATGACATTGAATAAAAGAGAAAAATCCTTGTCCTCAGAACTTCCCTATCTCTGAACCTTCTCTGCTTTACACTCAGCATCATATTCGTCAGCAAATTCTGTTGACTCTGCTTTCACAAATATACGGTGAAAATGTCCACTCCTCACTCCCCTCCCCACTGCTGGTGTCCTGGTCTAAGCCATCATCTCTCAATAATTATGTCCTACCTGATCTGTCTACCTCCCACTCTCCGCCCCTCCCTCCCCCACACCTACACACAGCTGACTGTCCTTAAAAAACAAAGATTAGATTATGTCTCTCTTCTCAAAAATTCCAGTGGCTTCCCATCATACAGCAACAGCCAAAGTGCTGAATATGGACACATGCCCTGCATGATCTGCCCACCATTCCCAGGCAGGATTCCTCTGACCTCAAGCTGTACGATTTCACTCCATCCTCCTCTCCTTCCAGCCACACCCGCCTTGTAGTTATGGACAGACACACCAAGCATTCCTCAGCCTCAAGACCTGTGTACTTGCTATTTCCTCTGTCTAGAACATTCTTTCCTCCCACTCCTCCCCCAGAACTTCCTATCCATATCCTCTGCTTTATTTTTCTCCATGATCACCACCTGACATAATACATTTTTTTACTTATTTATTAGTTTCCCCCTTCTGCTTTCTTTTTCCTCCCTCTCCCAGCCCTCCCACATAAAAGCACCTTGAGAAAAAGGATTTTGTCATCTGGGGTTCAGTGCTGTATATATTCAATAGATAATGATCGAGTGAATGAAGTTGGTCTCTTTCAGTTGATGACATAGTAGGTATTGTTCTGATTTCTTCAGTAATAATAATTAGTGCTTACCGTGTTCTTAATTTATGCTAGACAGCATGCTAAGCACTTCAGTTATACTGGGTCACAACCACCACATAGGTTGGTTTTATGCAGTCAGCCCCACTGTACAGATAAGAATACTGAGGTACAGAGGGATTAAGTCACTCACCCACATCACATAGCTAGTGAGGAGCAGAGCTGACTTGAAATCAGCAGTTTGACTCTGGAGTCTGAACTTAAGGACACTTTACCATGAGTCTGGTGTTACAAACATAAATATTTATTTGATTTTCTCTGTTTGTCTCTTCTGTGGCGCACACTTGGTCTCCGAGACAAATAGCTCACCTTCCTTATATTTTCTGCTCTGGTCCATCAGTCTGTCATCATGAACTCACTCCTTTCTTACATTTTTTATTTCTGAGCTTTAATTTAGAGCCTACATTTTTCCCCCTGAAACTGGCAAATGGGAATGTTTTTTGAAGGGTCCTTCTTAAAACGTTGCTCCTGCCAACTTCGTGAGTAAGTACAGCCACAGTTAGTTTTCCAGTTTGACTGGATGGATGGGTGATAGAAAAGATCGCTCTCAGGCGAACTGTGCTGAATTTTAGCAGCAGCATTATACTGGTAGAGCCCTGCTGCTTGTTTAGGCAACTTCTTTTCTTGTTAGGCACCCAATTATCAGGGGTTGTTACATATTTATATTATACCCTTTGAAAGAAACATCATATTAGCTCAGGTTTTCCAAAGATTAGGGCCCTGAGAGAATGGGATAGAAAACAATGATCTGTTGCGTACTGTCTGGCTTGAGGGAGGCTGTAGTCACCCCAAATGTTTTGGATACTTAAGGGCAACAGTGGTGTAGGAAAATTGAAACTCCGTTAGAACTGTAACCCCATTACCTACCTAGTTCAGTACCAACACAAAGGTACAACCAGATGCTTTTAAAAAAATGTTTGTTTCATAAATAAACAAATAAATGAAGTTCTAACAGGGAATAGAAGCGTACTGAGGACAAATTCCCCTGACTTCCCCACTTGTTCAGGAACTGCTACCTGGACCACTATGTATGATCGTATATTTTGTATACTGCAAAATGTCAGGGGCTGCCATTCATGTAAATTAAGATGCAAACATAGAAGTGTGGCTGCTCCTCTCACCCCTAGACGTTGCCCGAGTATGGTAATCAGTCTCTAAGATGTCCCACTGATCCCTGCCTCTTGGTATTCACACCCTTGTGTAATCCCCTCCTACGTCATGCTAGGTTTGGTATAATGCTGTGAGAAGTGAGGGTATGTCACTTCCAAGATTAGTTTAGGGCTTCCATCTTGGTTGTGCACACGTTGATGTGCTCCCTCTCGCTCTCTTGTCTCTCTCTCTCTCTCTCTCTCTCTCTCTCTCTCTCTCTCTCTGCTGTCACTGATTCTGGGGAAAGCTAGCTGCCATATAGTGAGCAGCCGTATGGAGAGGCCCATGTGACTAAAAAAGAAGATCTGCTAACATCCACATGTGTAAACTTGAAAGCAGAGCCTTCAGCCTTAGCTAAACCTTCAGACAATGAAGCCCCGATCAACATCTTAACTGCAACCTCTTGAAAGACCTTGAGCCAGAAACACCCAGCTAAGCCACTCTGGAACCTGGAGATCATGTTTGTTGTTTGTAGTCACTAAGTTTTGAGGGTAATTTGTTGTGCATCAATGGATGACTACTACACCATGCTCTCTGCTCACTAATGATGAAGTTCCCCAAGGAGGTTGCTGTCATGGTAGTTCTTCCAGGGCGAGGAGTCCCACTGACTCCTGAAATGGACTATTGCATCTAACTTCCCAGTAACTACAAACATAGAGGCTCAAGGAGGTACTGAGACATAAGTAAAGGATCTCAAGAGACAGCACAGGCCAGCAAAAAAAAAAAAGAAAAGTGGTTCTGAGGGGATGTCTTTAGACAACACAGGAAGAAGAAAGGAAGAATTGGCTCTGGAGAGGACTGACCAAACAGAAAGGAAAGAATCAGAGATTTGTTGAGCAATGAGATTGTAGTTGAGGTTTTCTTTGTTGTAGTTATTATAATACTATTAGTGCAATAAATAAAAATATGGAGAAACCTTAACATGGAGAAACCTCAGAAAGAAACAGATGGAATAAGCCTTGCCCTGGTTGGTGCCTTTCCTGGGCATTGCAGAAATGCTTTGGAACTGAGCTGTCTGGTTTCTAGATCCTGGCTCCACTGCTGCTTATGTGACCATGAGCAAGTGGCTTAACTTCTTACTGTCTCAGGGTTCTCCCCTACAAATGGGGCTTATTTGAATGGCCAATACTTATATAGGGTCAGAGGGAAGATTAAATGAGTTAATATATGTATGCAACTTGAATAGACGTGAAGCAAAGTAAGTACAATAGAAGTGTGAGCTACTAGTCTTCCTGGTGCTTTGATAAGTGGGAGATCATCTCACCCTCAAGTCTAGGTGTAATTCTCTCACTTGAGTTTGCCACTTTCTCTTGCAAATAGTCTTCTAGGTCAGCCACACAGCATGTCTCCCTGTACGTTACACTGTTTAAAAGCCTGCATTCTTTACTTTGCTGTGAACTTCTGAACGGCATACACCATACCTTATTTATCTCCACATCTACACATTAGTAAAAAGAAAAAGCATCCCCGAAGGGTTGGTTGAATTAATAAATATATACCTGCTTTTTCAGCTGCCATTTCCCCAAACTACAGAATTATAGAGATGGGTGTAACTGTTTCACATCCTTCATATCAACAACCGTTTCAAAGAATACATAAGCTCTTTACTATGTTTTATGAATTCAGAAAGTATACTAATGAATATTTTCCAGTATTTCATGAACCCTCTGGCCTTCTCTGCAGGCTCTAGAAAGAAAAAATGTGAAATCTTTTTAAATATGACCAAATGAGAAAACATTTTTATTTTTTAGATGGACCCTTGCTCTGTTGCCCAGGCTGGAGTCCCGTAGTGCAATCCCAGCTCACTGCAACCTCTGCCTCCTGGGTTCAAGTGGTTTTCCTGCCTCAGCCTCCTGAGTAGCTGGGACTACAGGCACCCACAACCAGGCCC